TGACGTTTCGACATCCGTCGCGGATTCATCATCAGAGACATGAGTAGCAGACACAGGACACAACCAGTGTTGACACAGGAACACACAAGGTTAGAACAGTCCACAATACTAGTATATCAAATGAGTAACAACTACAGAGCCAACATAGCGGCAACATTAAATAGGGCGGTTCCTTTTGTCTTAGAGTTCGGACCAATAAAACTTCTCGATTATTGAATTCCTATCAGCATACGGTGCACAGTAGGCGGTCATGGCCGAAAAGATTGTAACAACCCCTGCAAGGGCGGTAGACCAATGAAACTCATCACACCACGATCAACAAAGGCAGTAAAATACGATTCGTAGGAGGAGTTCCTAGAGCAGTTACTAATGCAATAATTCTAGCGTGCAGTTTTTATGTGGTGTCTGGAAAATGCAAAAGCGAACTTTTTATTCCGAGGCTTCGTAAAATCCTTCAATCGTCAGCATAGTGCAAGGGCAAAAATCCGAGTTATGGATGACCTTGTGACGTTTGCATCAAAAGAGTGCATGGACCTGAAAGACATAACCTGAAGGGCTAGTCTACTTGCCGAATACAAGCGACTAACTGAATCTCAAGTGAACGAGGTACAGTGAAAATTACGCTGTTTCTAACACTTAACAGAAACGAGCAACGTTTTGCGAAGTTGGTGTAGTCCAATCTGAAGCGTTGGGGTTACTGTAAATGCCAGCTTCCGGAAAGCTACTAACTCATATGGATATTATAAATGAAAGCTCTTGCAGGAATGGACACCGACACAGTGGCTACTTCGAGCAAACAAGTTTCGAAGGGGTGACAAGGGTCACGAAATACCTAAAAAAGTCATTTAGGTAGGCTTTATTTGACCCCTCTCCCTTGCTTCAGTTCATTTCCCGTAAAGCGCTACTAAATTGTTACCATTAGAGTTAGCGTTAAGGTTTCTACTCTAAACCTAAGGTTACTGTTAGCACGGCACAGAACAGCAGTCAACACTCTTGCCGTCCTCGGGTCAGGAACACAAAGAGAAAACAAGCGATAGCGCCATCACACAAGGGACCAGGTTACGCGCGACCTTCAAGGGCCGACACCACGCAAGGACGCAAGGAGTTACGCGCCGTCGGGTTCTGTCACACTAAGGTCACCGCACGATGGCTGACTGCATGGGCCATTCTCGGAGAGGCCAATAGGGAACAAAGACTGCTGACCCTTAAGTAGGCCGATGCGGACAGAAGGCACACTCTAACGCCCGAGACGAGATTCTACAACCGACACGAGAGCGAGCTGCCGACGACAGAAAACTAACCTGCAGACAAGAGCGAGCTACAGACGAGACAAGCTGCCGGACACACAGAGCTGATGTACAAGAAGAAACAATTACAGTAAACTATCCTCTGCTTTCCTGCCTGTCTTTCCTTCCTAACATACAACGCAAGGGCTTACAGTTACCTTTGAGGTTTGGCATTAGAATATCAACACTGGCTTTTGCGAAAAGGACTTGCTTCACGTCATGCTATGCTGTTTGTCACAAGCGAAGATATATGAGTATCCTGACAACTGTAACAGCTGCAGCTCGAGGGTGTCGCCGCACCAGGCATTTCGTCGCGGCGGCCTCGCTTGACACGCCGTTAGACAAAAAAACAGAATTCTATAAATCTGCGCAGAAAAGCGTCCCCGACAAGCTTACTTCACCCTGCAATCACGCCGGTGAGCGTCAAACAATCGCGGGCCTCTTGTGGACGAAGAGTATATGAGACAAAACAGAATAGTAAGGGCGAGATAGCAGGGGAGAGACTAACCTCAACAGGCTCACCCCTGGCCAGGATCTCGAAGCCCTCCTGACACTCAAGGGTCTTCTGTTCAGTGTCGTCAGTCAGACAGACGCAACGTAGCTGGGCCTCTTCGGGATGGTGGCGACGACAGTAGACGAGGAACTGACCAAAGTAGGGAACTGAGATGGACTCCCGATAGAGCGTGGAGGCCATTTCGGTAACTTCTGAGAGATTCGGACAGTCGATGAGCCAGAGTCTGCAAAAGAAAGAGGTGAGGGTTTCTGATGTACGCATGATAACTTCGCTGGCTGGATACTATAGAAGGATTTGCAATTATTTCTTCTGAAAAAAACGGCGGTCTCAGAGATTTTCGAAGGCACAAAAACTTGGTTTGAGTACAGCCAATGCTTTAACCACCTCAACTATGTGGTTCCCACCAAGGACCGTGGGTCGAATCACATTTGAGGCAAGCTACCCGCCCAACCTACCCAGCAAATGGAATTCACTAATGGTGATACAGACTGACTACACAAAACGGATCTCCTAAGCAGCCAATCGAGAATTCTACAACGTTGGTTGTACTCAGTACTTCACATTGCTCCCGTGAATTGAAACCAAACTGAGGCCGTCGATTACTTACTTGTGAAAATTTGCAAGAACATCCATAAAGAGAAGGACATTATAAAAAATGTGTTTCACTAGGAACGAATAGCGTTGACAAGTCAATCGCAATTCCGACCCATTTATTGTATGCAAATTAACCAGACGTCCCTGGCCGTAACGCATCT